TTGCACTCAAGACAAAGCACTACTTCTTCTTTAACCACTGCAGAAATCTTGCTTCAAAAGACCTCCTAACTTTGGATTTAAAAACCAACCAAAATCTCTTTTTCCTATTTTTCGCTTCAATGGCTATTCTTTCACCAAATATTTCTCAGAGCTAAGGAGAAGAATTGAGCTCAAATCTACCCTATGAAATCTACGAGATCTAGGCTATCGATTCATCTAAATAAGGTCTGCTAAAAATGTTTCTCTAATATAGTTGATGGGGTGTGGCATCACCCCTAAAAAGCTGTGGCTGCCACACCCCGTTAACTTACCTTCAAACAGATCAAATAGCTGCATTTTTTATATGTTTGTTATTAACCTACTTTTTATATAGCAGAAATTTCATACAAAAACGTTTCTCTAAGTGCAAGATATAGTCGTTTTTCCTTACCTATGCAAATGTAAAATACTGGTAAAATACTGCGAAAATTTTGGGACACGGTGACATGCTAAGTCTGCGCTACTACATGAACCGCAAGGGAAGGAGACAAGAATGTATATATTTGACGCCTAAGCCTCGTAATCTACATTAAAATGATTTCAGCCTGATTGGTCTTCTCTAGCTTGAGATATTGAAAACGAAAAACGGAAAGAACGAAATTTTGGCTTGCTCGTAATTCCTTATTTTGGAGGTCATTTGATGTAGGATTCCTAATGTGAGCAAAGAAATGGTAGTTCTTTGTATTAAGCGCAAAAAGAAGTAGTCAACTTAACTTTGAAACAAAGTAACAAGTTTGACTCACTTAGGTGGTCCTGTATTTGAAAACCTCAGAACTCGCTGAAACTTGGACCACAGAGGTCATTTTACTTGCTAATTAAACGATGCTCTTATGCTTTATAAAGCTTTAATTATGCCTACTGTACGTATACGATAAACATCAATGGCTAGTAATTTGCATGACGGGCCCATTTGACATGGTTAACGAATATCATGCTATGCGAACAGCGGACGCCTTGATAACGACCCCCTCTTCCCCTAATTACTCATTACGACCCCCCAGGTGTGGCATGCCATACCCCACGCTTGACCCTGGTTGTGACATCTTTCTAAAACTTCTAAGCATCAAATAGACGAACACATCCTAGAAGTGCGACTGGAGGCTTTCAAAAAAGTGTGAATTAATGACGAATGCTGCCTTGAAGCTGCAATAAACAAAACTATGAGAACAAGTTTTTGCGGACAGTGCCAGCTCCGTGCTAGAATCGTTACACCATGGGGAATCTTGCTCTGGGTTTTAAATTCGTAAAATAACAGTAAATATTATCGCCGTCACTAACCACTACAGTTAAAGTGTTCCTTTAGTTTTGCCGATAGCAATATACACATGTATTAGGTTGAGTCAAAAGTAATGAGAAATTTTTGCGCACCCTTTCAAACTTTTAGCAAATTCTGTAGAGTAGTGATAAAAGTAATTTAAACTGTATTTAACGTAGCTTTTCTTTCTCTTTTCAGCAGCCAGGCCAACTTGACTTCTTAACTGTCGAAAAAATTCCCCAAATTTCGAATCCCTCATTTTTGCTTTGAGTGAGTTTAGCTAATCCTCAGGACTTTTAGTTTGAGGATTCCAAACAAGTTCGATTATCTAAAGAAAGAGCAGGTCCTGCTCAATGCAAATCACCCCTTGGGTCTTTCGGAACTAGCATTTTGAGGCTTTTCAAAATCATTTTTTCAAAAAGCCCTAAAATTCCAAAAAATCGCTCAAAATAAAAATGCATCAAACTTTACAAAATCTTTTGAAATTGAAAGTTTCGAAAACAGTTTATTACCAAACTTTGATTCTGCAAAGTATTGAAGCGCTTACCGTTTCAAATTCCATAATCTAGAATTTTTGCCACGTCTGAAAACATAGAATTTGAACGCCAAACGTTTTGGGTTCAAAATTTCTGCAAATATTTCATCAACTACAAAGTGATTTGGTTGGAAATTATGACTGCTGGAAAGAGTAAGAAAAGCCGTATCGGATACGGTTTAGAGCATTTGCCTGTTCACATTCTACCTAATTTGAGAATAGGTTTAAGAGGAGATACGAAGTTCTCATTACTTTTGACTCACCCTAGTACATAGGTAGCAGAAAAACAATTTATTAGCTCTGATGCATCATTTCATTGATTTCTGATAAAACCAGAAAACTTCACTACACATTTACAAATGTGTCTCAAACAATGAATGTTGAACAACCATAATCATATTGATAAAAGATCAGAAAACTTCATCACGCGTTAACAAAGGTTTTTGAAACAATGAATGTTGAAAAGCAATTGTCATAACCAGAAAATGAGAAAACTTCACCACACGTCAACAAAACTTTTTGAAACAATGAATGAAACAATGAATTATCATGATTTCAGTGATACCAGATCAATGAGAAAATTTCAGCGCACGTTAACAAAATTTCTTCAAACAATGAATGAAACAGTGAGTTATCACTATCATAATGATACCGATCCTAATATAGAAAAGTCCCTTCTTTCATCACAGGCCATCAGACCTGTGATGAAAGAAGAGACTCCTCCATATTAGGATCGGTTTTGGTCGCCCTTTATCCAGTGATGTGTACAGCTCCATTGTTGGGTTGTATATTCACACTTATCTGGATCTTATCGAGAAGAGTGTCCACTTTATTGAGTAGCGCATTTTTTTTTCGAGGTACAGCCTCTTTGCCTGCAAATATAGTTTGAGTTGAAATAAGCAGAGATGCAGGTATCGCATGTACCCTAATGTATCTAGTTTGCTCTTCTAGGAACGCCTCGCGAATTCCAGGCTTACGGCCCCTTTTTTGGGTATTTCCTCAGCGTCAGTGTCACTGTCGCTCTCAAACTGAAAACATGAGATTAAAAAAACGTAGTGAAGCTAGTAATCGACTCACCGAGGACAATTTTCGAAGTAATTCCTGTGATGCTCAGGGGTTGGAGCACTTGGAGGGTGGCGCAGCTCAAACTGTTAGTTTAAGTTTTGTAGATATGTGGGCAGGTTTTCAATTACGCCGACACAGCTTTCAGCCGAGAGCTGTTGCTATTTTTTTCATCCGATTTCCGACATCGACCCGAGGCCCTTTGCAAGGGTCTCCTCCAACGCTGCAAGGAAACTTCTGTGGTAGTGGATCTGCCCAAGAAGAATAGCGATTTACTTTTTTTCTTGCATGAGTAAAGCCCTGACACTGCCCTTTTTGTTTCGCCAAATCCTCTTGATTTGGTCTACAGTCAAATCGCGGTCGCATTTACTAAACACAATGCGACGGATTTCTTTCCAAGCTTCCGTGCGTTTATGGTTTTGATTTGGCTGTCTCGTGCTGGCGCTGTCCCAGAGAAGGTCTCGCTTCTTTAAAACTTCATCCGCGATAACTTCAACGTGGTCCAATGCTTCCTAAGCCTACACCGTCAGAACAGCAGGAGATAGTGGCAGGATAGCTTACCCTAGCCATATCCCTCTCTTGATATCCCCGACGATGATGAATGAAAATGTAAGTTACTCAGTTACAGCAACTTAGTACCTTTCAAGGTTTAAGAGGTATTGAGTAAAATGCTCAAGAATTCTATTAGTATGGATTCTATTGTAAGCCCTTCATTACTTTACTTGGTTTGAGTTAGTAACATCTGAGTGGGTCAATATCAATAAAGTTGTTAATAAAACGTTCATGCATAAACGATCTGAAGATCTGCCCACTCCGACTGCCCGCTCCGCCATATTAGCAGCGATTTTTGAACATGCTTGCGAGTCCCAGTTCGGAATTCTCTAAAAGGCTCGTGATCTTCCATTTAACCCAGGATGATTAAAACATGCGTTACTTCACATTGATACCGCAGCTTACCGCTACCCGCATTTATGGCGACTTATATACAGCAAAATGGAGTGCTTCGGCAAATTATTCTACCCTACTAACCTATTTAGCGCAAGCACCTGAGCACCATTAACTCACAATGTTCGAAACTGTCTTTTAGATTGTAGATAATAATGCATGACGATATTGAGTACAGAAAGCATACTTCCCGACTTTGAAAATAGAGATACGACGATACGACAAACCTGGGACAACATCAGCGCAATTAGAGACACAAACCAAGTGGAGCGTTTGTTCTATAGCGCCAAGAGCGAAACACGCATTCGAATAAAGAGATCGAGTCCTAAAAAGACCTATTTCTCCAGGCTTTGGAAAATGAGAATTCCGCCAACCTTGCCCTCAAGCGTTCCAAGCTGATCGCGAAGAAGTAATGGCTCTGTCGCAGTCAACAAAACACCATGCAACATTGATACAACATCCTGAAATCAAAGTAGAAATTCGGGAGCATCACTAGAGCTAACAACTTACTTGTGTAAAAGTAACATCATTTTGCTCTCTGAGCAGTAAAACGCTCAGCCCTCGATAAATTAGAGCAGGCTCCATAAAGCTACCTGAATCACGCAATGCATTACAGGCTTAAAGGGAATAAATCAACTACCTGATGATCAGTACACCCCTGTCATTGAGCAAAGCAGGTTCTGCTCGGAACATTTATTTCGGCTTATTGCAAACATCACAAGAAAGGGAGAAGTTGGTGCGAGCTGCAACAGGATGCCTCTATCAAACAAGTTTTTCAGAATCAAAAGTTTCAGAACAAATAGGACAAACAGAACAAGTAACGAAGACATTTTAGAAGATCTGTACTTGAAGCACTGACTTTCAAGCGCAACAAGCAGAAGTGTCGATGATCTACTCCTACCCCTTTGATTGAAGACTTTGTACTATGAGAGTGCAAAAGATGTATGAGAGTGCAAAACATGGTAAAAGTCCTAGTTATGGCCGCTTGAAAGAGTTAAGCAGATGGAGCACAAGCTCACTCATTCGAGATGCAAAGAGGAAATCACATTTATAGAAAGCTCTATAAACAAAGAAAGAAGAAGGAAAGAAAGTGTAACTAAAGAAACTACTCCATAAGAAAGTGTAACTAACAAATTATGACCGTTATTCAAATGAATGTTTACCTTTCAATGCATCACAGTCCAAAGACGGCAAGATAGCAGTCAGGTACGATGATAAATATGGCAACATCGTTTCTTTGTATATTCTTAAAAATATAAACAGAAAGGCTAGTACGAACGGGTGGGAGATTTTGATACCGTATAAATTCGTCCATCCATATCAATGCCAATTTTCTACCCAAAGGTGGCTCGTCTTCATGGGCATGAGCCAATAGAACGCTCACCATTTGGGAACGATCTTCCTGTAAGCAAGACACCATCATGGGAACGTGAATGCGCTCCGTTTGCTCGCTAACCTCCACAAAGACAAGCGGCCATTGATTCCTCAATGTAATGAGTTGAAGTCGATCTTCAGCCGGTTCATTCACTCGTAATTAACTTCTACATTCCCTGCGTATCCACAAGTCTTGATAACTACAAGACACTAGAATAGGTACTTTTTCTTAAGCGCGGAGCACTTCATGCGATTTCAGTCACGACGCGATCTGGCAGTATTCCAACTGTCCATAACTCAGGTTAAGTAAATTCTAACCACGTAGCTTATACACACTATGTATGTGCAGTTTGCTAATGTTGGATCTAAAAACTTTCGGCGAATTGCCAAATCGCGTTGCGACTGAAATCGCGTAAAGTATGCCCGAATCTCCTGCTACGAAACCGAGAATCAATATCGATATGCGTTTAAAGTAATTACATAGCTTTTAATTTTCAAATTCTGAGAAACTCATTCACAACTACCAAATAACTTATGCTGAACAAGTTTTCAAACTTAGGCTCCAGCGTTGATCGTTGCGCACGAATGGAAATGTTTTGGCGCTTCCCGGCGCTTTTGAGCGTTGTTCAGCGTTTTTGGGCGAAGTATGACAAAACCCGTGATGTGGATGCGTGCACTTTACCACCATCCGCAGAAAAGAACTATCAAAGCGCAAAATTACAAAAAAGAAGCCCTTGAAGCACTACGGTTTTTTTGTGATGATAAGGAGATAAGCAAAGTGCAGAATCAAAACGGCATCGAAATGTTTGAATAAAACGAAAATATCAAAATGAGCTAGAATTCTCAAAAAACTCACGCGTTTACACTGGACTCCTCTCCCGAGTAAACAATAGCGATTTCAGCAGAGGCGATAGCTTCGAGTACAGAGGTAACGTTGATATGTGTGTAACGTCGAGCACGAGATTGCGAGCCTGTCGAGTTCGGCATGCTCGCAGCCACAGCTCCCATTTTTGGGGCTTTTGATACTGAAAAAAAAGATAAGCGATAAGATAACAGGCCAACGAATCACAATAAACACCAAAACCAGGCTGTTTTTTTGATAAGGAAAGATAGCGATACTTTATGACACCCTGGAAATTTGGTGGATGTCACATTTATACAATCGACAGCATTAGTTTTGTGATTGGGTCGGACTCCTGACTAATTTTCAACTGATTCGATAGCGTACAGATATTTGAACTGGAACACCATTATGATAAACCGCAGGAACACCGTCGTAGTCGTAGACGAGATTTTCACTTTCTTCGAGTATTGCCTATTATTATAAGTATGCTAGAGGAAATCTTTGATAGAAGGAGTGTACGTGATTTCGGAGGTTTTGAGAGTTCATGCATTTGATTTAGCATAAAAAAACAAAGACAGAAAATGTATCTAGTACTTAATCCGTGTATATGCTGCCAACGATAAAGGCATAATTAATCGAAGAGCCCTCGAAACCCGCTAGTGTGAAAGGTCTTTAAGTTTTCCCTGACCAATTCCTATCGGCTTCATTAGCAGTATCGAATGCCTACAATGAGTGAGGGAAGTCAGACTAGGATTAATCGATCATGCCAAATAAGCTCAGACTTTGATTAACCGATTATGCAAAATAAGCGTTAAAGGTAAATAATAATATGTAAAACAAACAACAAAGAAGAAAAATCACAATAATAGTGTCTTTACCTGTAACAAATCCTCCGCAGATATCGCGATTTTGGACCAAATGCCGTGCTTTGCTCCATAATCCCCGACTCCATCACTAAGCCAAAAAAGGCCTCTAGGAGAGGGCGGAGAGGGGCTCTTGGGTGGCCCGAGCCCCACAGGGCCACCTGCAATAAACATCTCACTTATAATGGCGAGAAAAACATTATCAATGCGGCGTAAACGACAAATAACGCTTCACGAAAATGCGATTTTAACAATGATGTAAACGCCATTTTCGCGGCGTCGTCCCAGATGTGCACGGCGCAAACTTGCAGACGGCGCCAACAGGGTGCCACCACCTCGACATGGTAGGGGCACGACAGGATGGTGGCACCTTGATCTCTCAAAAGAGCACGCTATTTTTCGAGTTCTTGAAATTTCGACGAGATGCCGCCAGCTCAGCTCGCGAAGTTGCCGCCAGCACCTCCTGCCTACCTCAACAACTTTGTTTAGGAGGATTTTTAGAATATCCAGTTGCTAGGTAAAGTTCTCTAAGGTCACAATGACCTGCTCGTCTGGAATTACGTGGTAAAAAGGGTTGGGAGGGCACAAATCGAGCTTGGTGTTCACGCCGACTTCACGTAAAAATGACGCCGACCTGACGGCGAAAAATGCTGCCAGGTCAGGGGGATTACTACCAGCCCAGGTGTGGCTTGCTGCACCCCACGCTTGACCCTGGTAACAGCTCATGTAGGGCTACTATCAGAACTAGAGCTAACTGAAACTTTTGAAGGGCTTTGGCGGTTCCCTTTTTATGTGAGCTATAAAGCTTTGCGCAGAGAAAGTAGTGTTCTCATTCCTGACACTTTTCAATGACAGCGGCATTCGCTTGAGGCTAAGAATGTCAGATCTTCATAAATGTGCCGTAATCAAATTTTTCATATGATGAACTCAAGAAGTTTTTTTTGGTGTGGAATCATACAAACAGAACACAATTCTAATTACTGCACTCTATCAGCACTTTTTCTAAAGCGTTTCGTCTCCGTTTTCCTTATAAACAGGTAAATTCCCTCATATCTTTTTCGGTATAGTTTGAAGTTGGTTGTGTGCAATGAAGATAGCATAGGCTGGAATCACGTTAGCAACTAAAAAACCACTGTTCAAATGTTTGCCATCATTGCTCAACATTGAGTCAAATAATGATGTGTGCATAGGATTAGATTGGGCAAAGTTAGTATCGTTCAAAGAAAACTGATTTTTCAAAACTGGTAAAACCTAATGCATGGCCTGAATCTGATACGTCGAACACCTCTGTTTCATTTGAAGTGAGCTTTACTCAAACGCGGGTTTCGCGTGATCTTCTTCCTGGATCTTGCGGCGCGTTCGCGAAAGTGTTTTTGATAACTTTCCCACGCATGAGCGTGGAAAAGGACTTGGAGGCAGCTCTAATTATTGAATTATTGACTAAGCGTGGAAAATTAATTAGTGAACACGTTTGCGAAGACAGTGCAGCTGTAACGACGCGGCCGCGCGGGACGCGCCTCTCAAGTTGGGCTTCATTCCAAATTAAACAAAAAATGCGACATATCCTCTTATCTCTATGCGATGAAGTTGTCGCTGGATATGTCTGATGTCAAAGACATGAATTGATATTGGAAGCTGTTCGTTTTATTTACACTTTTTTCTGCTGAACCTTCCTTCTAAATGCCTCGTCGCGCTCATCCGACGCTGCCTTAATAGCGTTGTTATCAAAATCCAAATATCTCTTCACATACTTACCCTACCCAGCAAGATCATCTTTGAGGTATCGTCTCTCCCAACTAAGCTGTTCGAAGTTCTAGCGAGGCTGTTGTTGGCAACGCAATTAATGCTATCAGATAGATTATGTGAAGCCAATTAGTTGCAGCGATATTAAGGTTTCTTTGAGGCTCATGTGAGGCTACAGGCCCTAACTAATTGCAGAATTCTCACAAATGCAGATAGTTCCTCTCGCTGTTTCCACCCGAAAGCGCGAGATCGCATTAAATGCGCGATTAACTCAGGTGCCATCAAGTCTGCGACGCGCTGCCTCATGGTTAAACGCTAGAGCCAGCTCTTTATGAAATAGACTTGCAAGCCACGGCGTCCGTCAAAAAAGTTCTTTAAAAATTAAGTTTTGTGTATGTTTCTTTACAAAAAATTTTTTTAGGTTTATCTGCAGCCTGCTTCGTCATGCTTATTGCAAACTTGAGCGTGTTGTACTCTTATTATAGAAATGGTGCGGTGAGTTTTTGTTATGACATTATGGATATTGAGGTTCAAATTGCGAAAATGATTCATGTGCATACTTAGGCTGCGTTCATTCTGATCCCGAAGTGGGAGCAGCACAGCGCTTAGTTCAAGCGCTGTGCTGCAACTGTTCCCAAACATCGGAATCAGTATAAATGCAGCCTTACTTACTTGATGCACATGTCATTGCATTATTACGATAACTCCGTGTGTGGTACGCAAACTTGAAATCATTGTTCGCGAAATTCGACTGTCAGTTTACGCTTTGCTTCCAAAACATCTTCTTGCAGAACTTGAAAAGTATTTGAAATGTGATTTTGAAATCACCTCGCAATATGGTGTATTAGGCCTCGGACAGAGTTACGCGATTCTATCGTCGCGATTCATTCGCTGCAAAACAAGTGTTACGAGTTCTTTGCATGCCGATCTTCTTGTATTTTGGTTGTGATAGTTTTCCAACACGATTAATCGTGACTAACTATCACAACCGAAATACATTGGCATTGGCATGCAATGATCTCGTGACACTTATCTAGTAGCGACTGAATCGCGACGATCAAATCGCGTGAACTCTGTCCGAGGCCTTAGCAGTATATTCGCATGATCATCTTTAGATCGACATTAACATATCAAAAAGTGATCTTGCACATTTGCTCTGTTCAGTCCTTTATTCAAAGAATATTAAGCCTAAAAATGAGACGAAAAGCAAGCCAAACATATCTTGGGAGTTCTATATAGAACCCAAATTCTGCATTAATCAAGTTATTATGTTAACCTGTGCATCACCTCTGCTTCGCAGAGACTCGCAATGGTATTACCACCTGTATGACTTACTCACTGCTGCAATAACGACATTGAAACTTACCACGCTTGCAGGCTATTACGATTGATTTGTGAACACTCATTCCTAAAGCTTTTTCATGCAAAGTCGGTGATTGTGGTTAAAATCTTTTCCAGAAGAACAATTGCAAATTCGGATTGCTTTTGGATTCTTTATGGCTTGTAGTCGGGTTAAAGACAGTAATCACTGCGGGCTACTTTTTTGTGCAAAAATCTTCACACATGGTCAGATACAATCTTGGCAAATTGAACAACTACGCGACCAATTCTTTTCGCCGCCATTTCGTAAAGTAATAAAGTTTTGTCCAATTTTTCAAACTAAAGTCCATAGATTGCACATTAACTAATCAAACATATCCATGACTTTGCAAAAATGGTGCTACAGGCCCAGTTTTCCCGGCCAAAAGCTAAGTGGATCCATTTAAAGGGCTTTTTGAGGGATCCACTGTTGGGATCTGCCAGCGCTTTTGCATGGTGGACTTTCATGCTGTTAGCATGCGCCACGCAAAATTTGGGCTGAGGAGTTGGTTGGAACACATTCTTTGAATCTCGTAAACATACAGACAGATATAACACTCACACAAAAAACGTGAACGACCCTTAGCCCGTTATTATAAGCTATGATAACCCATGAAAACCATTTCAATGAAGAATTGAAAAAATGTCACAGCTTCCGTTTTCAAACAAATAATTCTTGCGTACTTAACATTTTTGTCCTGACTTCACAAAAGCAAAAATAATTTTTCTTCAAATTAATTAGTTTGATTACACCAAAAGATTTCGTAGCTAAAGAACCCTCGACAGAACTCTTCGCCGTGCCGCTACTTACTCAAGACGTGCGAAGGTGCGACCGTTCTGGGAGGCGAACAACCGATTTGCTCGTATCTAAAGAGCAAATGTGCGCCTTGGACTCGTGGAATTAACGTGAACCAGGAAGCGGGTTCCAAGCAAGAACCTTGGCATGGGAAAGCACCAGAGAATATCAAGTCTAAAATAGCTAATGGGCAAGTTTTTAGCATGGGTTATTTGCTTATCAAAAGACTGCGACATGAAGCTACATGCTCTCAAAGAATCATGGAAATTCTCAGCGATTTTTCTTTTCTGGCATCTGTGAATGCAAAATCGGGTTAAATCTGGGGAATTACCTGCTATAGTAACCTATAAGGCTTGCACATAATCTATAAGGCTGAGGCTAGAAACTTTACGTACTATCTACATAATCTATGGGGCAGGTCATTTCAGTTTTGTGCCAAAGTAATTTGAAAGATGCTCCTTTCAACTTTTCGAACTTCTACATTTAGCGCATCTGTAGAACTGCCAACAAAGGTAGACAATGTAATTTTTTAACAGGACCAACTGTATGTTATTTATCGATGATTTCAGTTTTATCAAGAAGTAGCTTTTCAGCGTGTACAACACATGTTTGCCTTTTTGAATGCGTTGAAAAAATTATTTAACGATGGGAAGTGTATTTACCAAAGATAAACTCCCTCCACTGCTAATGATAAGGCGGAAAAGTTTTGTTAGTTTTTTGAACCCACGCGCAAAGCTGCAATCAAGCGACTCCCTCCTCGGAGAAGCGCTCAGATAACCACAAGTGTTCCCAACCCATTGTTTTAATTAGGTTATTTAAGCGACGATTAACTGGGCCCTTCTATCAATTTTATTGATTTGCCTGTTTACATAGAGGAAAATGAAAGCGTATCAATCACTATCAAGAAACGGGCGATAAAAATCAATAACACTTTGTGGTGTGGAAGGTGCAGTGTCATGAAGCGAGGGAGCCAAGAAGCTAGGCGAATCACTACGGTTACCACTGGAGCGCTGCACTTCAGACCCGGTGCAAAAGCAGGAAGAAAAAGGAGATGCAGCAAGAAAATACAAACAAATTGGCGGCGTTGCAGGAATTTCCAAAGCCTAGTTGTTTAGCAGCAAGAAAATACAAACAAATTTGCGGCGTTGCAGGAATTTCCAAAGCCTAGTTGTTTATCCTTACAGGGGTACATAGCACCTCCATGGAATCCTTGGGGATATTACATCTTCATAGGGTCAGAGGGGCTCCGGCGATGGCTCCGCCCTCCAAATGCGCT